ACACACCATAAGTCTGCCCTGTAAGTGTTGTTGTGGGGAAAGTTAAAACTCCTTCTCTTTTTGTGTTAACTTTTACATTAGTTTACTCTTCCTGATTGATGTTATATAATGCATGATTACACTTGATTATTTAAGATCTTTTAAACGTGTATTCTATAGTAGTAAATTCACCCTTCTCTTTGATCTTATGGATATTACTGCACTTAAACAACTAAGGTCTTTATAGTCACCAACTAAAGGGTGACCTGGATTACAGCCACACGACACATTGGAATAGATTAAACTCAGGTATGTGGACATGTGCCTTATCTCCCATAGTTCGTCTGGTCCATCTTATGTCTAGTCAGCAATATATAAGAAACCATCGTCAACATTAAACCTGTCTCTATTAATTTGTTTTTTTCAGATAGATGGAAAGATAGGTGTTATTCAGTAAAATCGTCTTACAAATTTACATTAATTCGGTATATATGAAGACGATGTAGGTATACAATCAAAGAATACTTTAAACAAATATAACATTGCACTTAACTATCCAAGCATTACGGATTAACGACTTAGAGTAAAGATTCGACGGAGATTACAAACAATAATAGGATTGTCTTGTCACGATCACAATCCCCACTCATCACTTCTCGAGGAATAATCAATAGAATATAGAATGAGAGCTGAACAGAAGTGATGCATTAACTAACAATATGGCTGTGGGTGTTAGTCACCTGGTACACTTCCTCTTAAACATTACCCCAGAATTAAGACTCACTTAACTCTCTCTTATAGAAAACCACAATAAAGTGAAATAAGTATTAGCTATGACATTAAATCAGAACGCTAACCTTACAGATAAATAGTTGAAACAGAGGAAATGATATGTGGTAATTAAACATGGAAAATTAATCTCCATATAACATTATCGGCTACGAATCAGGTGCTGAACGTCACTTCAGCCTCACGTCACCTCAGCCTCACACGCTTATATAAAAGGTCAGAAAGGGTACAGTAACTCCACTACATCAAGGAAGACGAATCATAAATCATACTTCCTTATAATTAATAGAGAGAAGGATATTTAAACATATGTATCTTAGTACCAAGCGAGTTTTATTGAGCTATAGTCTTTGTTGTGGAAAGGAGACGAATTCCAGGAATCCATGATGCACGAATGGCTCTGTCTTCCCGCCACCACTTCTCTCTTTCATTCATAAAGCACGTGTCCCGTCTTCCTCTCTCAACTACCTGAGTATTCTCTCTCTCTCTCTCTCTCTCTCTCTCTCTCTCTCTCTCTCTCTCTCATTCATACTCTTTTCTCCTCCCTCAGGTGTGGCGTCACTACGGCACGTGTTAAGCCACGGCAACGTGGGTGGAACAGGCAGTATCATCCGCCCACACACCGTCGGCGTCACCTCTCTCAGGTCAATGTCCGCTGTACTCTTGAACTGTTTAGATTCCGGTGTGGGTGTGTCTAGGGACAGTGAAAGTTGTTTTAGGTCTGATTTATTTGTTTTAGGTTTTTTATGTGGGGACTGGTAGTAGTTTGGGGTTTTTGTGTTGACAGAACCTATCTGGAATTACTTGAAGCTTGAAGTCTAATGAGGATATTTGATTTTTACCTTTTCGAGCTTGTCGTGAGGACTCCTACCTGTCTGGGCCTAATCTCACCTGACCCAACATACCCCCCCAGGTAGCGTTATGGTGTTTAAGTATAAGTTGAAATAATCTGGGGTGCCTATTCTTTACGTTATCTCCAAAGGTCTGTCCGAAATCTTGTAATTGTTGTAGAACTTTTTTTCTAACTGTCGGGGGCCTGTATGGGGTTACTGGTGACCTTATTGAGATATTTTAGGTTAGGTTAGGTTAGGATAGGATAGGATAGGATAGGATAGGATAGGATAGGTTAGGTTAGGTTTCGTTAGGTTAAGGAAGTTGGACATATACTTCAACCTGATCTTGTATGCTCGATTGTACAGTCGGGGTCAAAAGTCTTGAACCCTTAGCAATATCTGGCATCTACTTGTGAATTATACATATATGATTGGGATATGCTAATAACACTACTTGTCATCACATATTATGCCTGAACCACAAAATGGGATAAAACTCTCCTTAATACCTAAGACCTTCGGATATTTACAACCAAATACTGTTAAGTGTTCAAGACTTTTGACCTCGACTGTACATCTCTCCTTCTAGTGTTTATTCTCAAGAAGTGATTAATAATTTAGGGAAGTGGTCTTAGTATTTGATTCTACAGAGGGAATTGATGTTGACATTTAGTCGTTGATGTTCATGCCATGTTACAAGTGCTGGGAGAGTGATGTTTGTATGTATCTGTCATGGACGAATTGATGATGATGATGTTAGTGTCGTCGGCTGGAAGAACAGTTTTGTGTTTATATGGTGATGGTTGTGTCGGAGGTATACACGCTGATGGCAGTAGGGCAATGAGTCCCCGTAGTTAATTATATCAGGGCATTAAGTAATATACAGGCAGTAATGTTAGGGCATCAAGTATACATAGAGATGCTAATTATTAAGTTCACACGTTTGACGTCAGGGCTTTAATATTCTGGTGGTATCGAGGTGGGATGTCCGTGTCGAAGCTTCAGTTAAGGACTTCCCGTTGATGTTCGAAAATTCTCTTTTTAATTGTGACATGCGAGGCCCGAGTGTTACTGGGATGACAAGAACGAAGGAAAAAAGTTCTTTATGTTTTGATGTTATTCTTTGGGTGTCGTTCGTTCTTTGATATAGGTGTCTGTGTGTCGAAAAATTAAACATACCGGCAAATTGGATGGTAGTTTTTCCCGCCTTTTCTATGGGGTATTGTCAGTGCGGTCTCTTTGATGTGAATTTTGTTGAGTGTTTTTTTTTACGTCAGCTGCTGTGTGTTTGACCGCCAGTGTTTTTAAATGTACTTTATTACTTCTGTTTGACTGCCATTGTCGCTGTTTAATCTTTCATGTTTGTTCTATGGAGACAATTTTTTTTCTTTTTACATTTGTGTTTTATTGGTATATTACCACTGTTAGTTAGACTCTATGGTCAATACCAGGAAATAATTGCAGGCAGCTGAAACATGGGGCATTGATATCCAGTCGAGAATGTATAAAAGTTTGTAAGTTACTGTATTGTTTATATCAGTGTGTAAGTTATTGTTTATACAACTATGTATGTTACTTTACTATTATCCTACTGCAGTGAATGACATACATACATACATACATACATACATACATACACGAACAAAATATTATATAGACAAGCATATATGTATAATAATGTGACCGGTACACACACACACACACTACTACTACTACTACTACTACTTCTACTACTACTACTACTACTACTACTTTGCTGTCACTCGGAATCGAGAATGACGATCATCCAACTATGATGCAATGATGTGAGTTATTAAGGATGTCACCTTCGTTGGTGAGTTTTGGGGTGACTAAAAGAAGCTGATACGGGACCGGCAGAGTTGTTCACAGATTTTGCACATGTGGAGGGCTACATCGAGTGCAGGGAAGACCGGTGGCAGCGTCTTTCCGGCGTTGGCGCTTGTCTGCCTCGGTTTGCAGTCGAGCTAACTCGAAAGTATTGACACCTTCTCGTGTGGTGCTCTTCCAAGCGTTACGATTTGGAGTAATCGTCTCCCAGGTGAGGGAGTCGATTTGGAACTATTTCAGGTCTGTCTTAAGACTATCCTTATACCTTTTCAATTGCCCGCCAGCGTTACGTTTACTATTCGTTAGGTGAATGTAAAGTAGCTGCTTTTGCAGTCTACTGTCGTCCATGCGGGTAACATGGCCAGTCCAGCGTAGTTGTTCATGGATAATGGTAGCCTCGATGCTCCTACAGTTGGTGTCAGCAAGGTTGCACACACACACACACACACACACACACACACACACACACACACACACACACATAGTAACTGGCTCTCTAGTGACCTTCAACCTTCAGGTAACTTTCACAACCCTTTATTAATCTCTCTTATGAATGAACTAGACTAAGGTGAAAGGTCAAACTTCTACTGACGGGGAACACAACGATTATGACATCCTACACGTGGGTTGGGAACTGAGAGGGGTGTATCGGTTCTTGGATCAACTGAAGATTATCCCCCAGCTTATCTCACCTGTAGATTAACCACCCTAATGCTAAACTAACCTAACCAAGAGCCCCCCCCCCCCTGGTAGCGGTAGGATATTTAAGCCTCAGGTGAAATAAGCTGTATGGGGGTCCAGTGTGTTGGTGTCCAGCGGTGGTGGAGATAATCGTGGTGGTCCAGTGGTGGTGGTATCCAGTGTGTTGGTGGTGGTGGTCCAGTGTGTTGGTGGAGGTAATGATTGTGGTCCAGTGTGTTGGTGGTGATGGTGGTCCAGTGTGGTGGTGGTGGTGGTGGTCCAGTGTGTTGGTGGTGGTGGTGGTCCAGTGTGTTGGTGGGGGTAATGATGGTGGTCCAATGTGTTGGTGGAGGTAATGATTGTGGTCCAGTGTGTTGGTGGTGGCCCAGTGTGGTGGTGGAGGTGGTCCAGTGTGTTGGTGGCGGTGGTCCAATGTGTTGGTGGAAGTAAAGATGGTGGTCCATTGTGGTGATGTTGCTGATGGCCAAGACTGTGATGTGTTCCCTGTGATCTGTAGTTGTCTCTTAACATTATCTTTTAAACTCGTATGACATAACAAGTAATATATGTTAACAAAACGAATGTAATTATTTCTTAAGATACATCTGATAAGAGAGGCGTCGCTTTACCACATTACTTTATAATTGTTCCTTGATAATTCTAAAACTCATGAATACATCTGATATTTACATAGATTAATATACATCTAGTATTTTATTGAGTTATATATGCGGATTTTAATGTTTATAGTAGGAAGAGAAACATCACTAAAACTATGTACCTGAAGAGTTAACACGACTAAAGACCTTATCAGGATTTTAAGTTGTATAGCCAGATATAAAACTCATATTTAAAGGATAAGGAAATCTGTTTTGAAAGAGATATTTATATAATTAGTAGCAATTCCGACTCAGGTGTTCATTGATAAATAGATACAAGTTTAGTTATTGTTGAGAGTATCACATGACACAGTAGGATACCATACAGTAATGCTAAAGTTACGTGTCTGAGTATGAAGCCTGAGTTTGTTTACCTCACCTTAACAGAAAATGAAGGTTAAACTTGTGACTCAATCCAGAGAAAACGAAAATTTGGTACTGGTAACTATTCAAAAGATGTAATATGGGAGGAAACACAAGACATATTTACCAGAAACACACGTCTTGATTATCCATGGAATTCATTTGTTTTACACATATAATTTTAAATAATAATAAACATATAATGGCTATGCATACGCTATCAAGACAGCCGTTTGACCTGGAGTTAGCATAGTCATAGTCATCGTCTGTCCTGAGTGTTTCATCTTTAGTTCGCTGTTCAGTCTGTTCTAGTAGTAACATTTTAGTGAATAGATTAAAATATGAATAGGATGTTAAGGAAAAGCTTGGTTATATTATTTAACGTTTTAGTTTTCTTTAGCTTTTACTGAAATTATAAGAAAAAAATATAGATAGTTTTCAGTCGTCTTCTGTAATCAACATTTGGATATAACAAAAGACTCAATCTGATTCGGGATCTGTAACATTTAACACACTAATCGCCCGACATTTGTTATTTACTGCGTCAATAACAGCGATTTATGAGAGTTATAAATATACACTATGTACAATCGCCGACAAAATACTCTAGACTCGTCTGGCAGCACTCATATACTGTACATCAGATCGTGTCACAGTGTTTCAGTTCCCTATCCCGTGTTCTACACAGCAAGGCGAACCAAAGTGTTACGTATAGAAATGATTTTTGGCCTTTGTTTATTTTTGTTGTCTGTGTCGAGAGTATTTTGTCGGCGATCGTACATGGACTGTGGGCGCTGAATGACACATCTTTTACAGGACTAGAATGATACGTTTCTCTTAATTTAAGTAAACACTGATCTGCTGTTGCTTGTAAAGGTCGTGGGATCACACTCGTTGGTGATACAGGTTCGGCAGTCTGCTTGTAGCCGGCCACACAGATATGGTGACCAGGATGTAGGAGGCCACATAGTTTTAGAGGCGAGGTTGTAATTGGCCATGTATGTAATACCGGCCAAGTTGTAACTGACCACACGGGTCTAGACACCAGGTAATAGTCGGTATATACTGTAGGTTTAATGGCCAGTGACAGTGGACTATATTATTACTGTATTCAGTGTGTCACCCATACATGAGTATTAGCCACTTTTATGGTCACATTTATGGCTACACATGTATATTACCAAGGCTGTTGTTGACCTCTCTTATGTAATACTCAGGATTTCAGCAATTTTGTACAGTACCTGTATACGTTTTAGAGTCGGTTATAACTTCCCTTACTCACCTGATAGTAAATATAATTTCACCGCCAAACTCAAGTTGACAACTTCCAATGTTGTGTTTTGGCTGTTGAGGTTGAGTGGCCACATTATTGGAACACATGGGTCAGATGGTTGGCCTCCATAGATCTAGTAGCCAGGTTTGTTGGTCCTCGCTGGTCTTCTGGGCAGTTTAGTGACAGACGAATTCATTGCTTGCAGGAGAAGATTTGGAATAAAGTACTGTCAGGTAGATGGGCGTCCTCGTCCTGACTAACAAACTTGACGCCATCCGGAGTTGCCGACACGAAGCGACCTGACGAGAATAGATACAAAACGGTAATAAATGTTTGGTGAAGCTATATCAGAATAAGAAACAAACTTCTGAACCATTAGCGAAACGAAACTATTAACATGGTTAGCTGGTCCCTCTCCATGTGTTGTCTAATGGTAGACCCTGCTGCCATATGGCATCACAAAAAGTGTGACCAAGTCCCAGGTTGCTGATCTGACTTTCTGCCTCATTTACACACAATTGCAGGGTCTCAATTGTTTCTCTGACTTTGACAACACAACATACATATATCGTTTCTCACTCTTAATATTTTATTTATTTATTTATTTGTGGCTCTTTATTATTATTATTATTATTATTATTATTATTATTATTATTATTATTATTATTATTATTATTATTATTATTAATATTATTATTAATTTTTATTTAGTATTATTAATATTTTCTTTGTTGTAATTGTTATTTATTTTATTGATTTTTTTTTATTTGTATTATTCTTATAATTATTATTATTATTTTATTATATTTTCGCCCCCCAGGCCTTGATGTGGGTCATTATAGCCCATAAGAACAGCCACCAGAACGCTAACCTAACCTAACCCCCTCAAGTGATCAGGATAGCTTACTGAAGATAACAGACTGTGGATATGATTATTGTTGTTGGTTCACAAAATTTTCCAAGATGGGATTCGAAGACAACCAACCTGTAAATATGCTCTTGAGCCTGACGAAGTCGCTGCCCCTGTCACTGTTGAGGATGAAGAAGCGGACGTCTGCTTGGCTGAGGTTCTTTACATCTGAAGCCACACCGTGCTGGGGAGGAGGTGGAGTGGTGAGGAAATAATCGGTACTGAGGGTGTAGTTGGGTTTATTGGGAGGAGCGTTGCGTGTCCGTGGAGGGAGTCAGACAAATAGACGAATAGAAAGAGATAGACAAAGTATCCTTGTGTAGGTTGGGTCAGGTGCAGTTTCTCCTCTTTGCTGAATATATCTAACATTATGCATCAAGATATCATTTACCCATTGGCTATTCAAGAAACACATTAGTAAATAATACCATACAAAGATAAAAATATTACCCGTGTTGAAAAATATTATTATTCGACAGAGTGAACATCAAATGTATCAATATTAAATTCACTTCCGCTGTCACTCACCATAAAGGTCAGATCTGTGGGGTTGAGAGCGCTGAGGTATTGGTTGCCTTTTGGGGCCTGGATTACCACCAATTTCCCGCCTTCAGGTCGTGGGGTTGCCTCCTCGAACGAATGCACACGGAAGCACACTACACGGGGACACAGATGAAAAAGAAAGTTATTTTAACATGGAAATACAGATAAAATGTGTAGATTTTTAAGTTCGTGCTATTTTCTTAATCTGGTCCATTGGCGGTGTATATCCATAGAAATAAACAAACACTTTGGATGGGTAGTTTCCTTCATTGTAGCTCTTGTGAAACAGATATGAGTAGAATATAGAAATAAGAATGGACACACACACGCGCACACGCACACACACACACACACACACACACACACACACACACACACACACACACACACACACACACACACACACACACACACACACACACTGATTTCACTGATTTCCTGAGTGAGCTTCGTCAGGCAGTGAGGTACCAGGGTTCTGTCTCCACATTGCAACACCTCACCTGCGGTGTTCCCCAGGGGACCAAGATGGGACCACTTTGCTTCCTAATCCTGATCAATGACGCTCTATCGGACTCCTCACAAGTGGAAGTACGTGGATGACTGCACTGTGGGGGTTACAGTGGACAACACCTCACCAGACTACTTATCGCTGCAAGGCACCCTGGACAGGCTACAGGCATGGACTACGGAGAACAAGGTCACCATCAATCACACCAAAACCGTAGTCATGCACATCAACAACGCCACCACTCCAGTGCAAGCTCCAGCAGTTACAGTGGGTGCCCATCCTGTCCAGTTAGTGCAGTCTGCCAAATTCCTTGGTGTTACCATAGACCACAAACTGGACTGGAAGGCCCATGTAAACAACACTATCAAGGCAGCCTCGTACCGACTCTACATGCTACGACGACTCAGGTCACTTGGGGCACCCAGGCCAGAGCTGAGGACTATCTACAAGGCATTTATTATCCCAAAATTAACGTATGCATCACCAGCCTGGTCGTCTTCTCTCAACTCTACCCAACCATGTCAGCTAGAGAATGTACAGAAGAGGGCCTGCAGAGTCATGCTCGGCGCAGATTACTCCGGCTACAACAGCTTTTTCTCCACCCTGGAAATGCCATCCCTTAGTGACCTCCACCACCACGCACTAGCAGGGTTTGGTAGTGGAATACTGCACCATCCTTGTCATCGCCCACCTCGCACAGTCCGCCACTACAACAAAATTCAGCCCATAAGAGCCCGCACCGATAGATATAAGAATAGCACCATCCCATCTATTGTTGAAATAATAAACAGCTCCTGATTTATGTACTGTACAGCCCTGTAAATGTATTGAACGTATATTATTATGTCTAAATCACATGTATGTTTGTATATTTTCAGCCACCGACTGCAACTCTATTAATAAACCGTTTATTATTATTATTACTATTTATTATTACACACACACACACACACACACACACACACACACACACACACACACACACACACACACACACACACACCCTCTGCCTCTGATCCTTCCTGGACGCCCACAGTCATCCTGATGGTGTTGCTGCTGCTAGAGTCGGAGGCGGTGAGGAACAGTGGCAATTCTTGATTCAGCCTTAACTTATTAGTCGTACTCTTACTGTATAACACTCTGACATCCTCCTCTTGTACCGACGTCACTGTAGCTCCTGTAATACCGGGATTGTGTTACAGGTTAGAGGTTACAGGCTAAAGGTTACATAATGTACCTAGGGTCATATGTTACAGGTTAGAGGTTACAGGCTAAAGGTTTCATATTGTATCTAGGGTCATATGTTGCAGGTTACAGGTTATAAGTAACGGGTCTTCAAATCACATACGTTTTGCTTAGTTCGAGGTTGAGTATTTTACAACTTTTAGTCCATAAGTCTCTACTACACTCTTTGGAAAACGCACCAACCTTTGTTAAATAAAAATAAGACATCAGAATTTGCAACAAATTCAAATTTTTTCTCGCTTTTATTTTTGGTCAAATACACTGACTGTTTACCGTTGTTTGCATACTTCACAACTTCCAGTGTATTCATGCATTGTATATATACGTTCTAACCTAATGTAATCTTGTATGATATGACGATTAAACAGAATTAACAAATTAACATCCATCCATAGGTGAATTTATTTTGTGCTGGTTACCCCTATAAGCAATGGTCAGAGAAAACCTTAAAATATCAAGGGCAACTAAAGTAAATTACTCACTTTTCTTCCTAACTCTGATATTTGTGTTGAGTCTCTTGTTCACTGGGGCTTCGTCTGATGAGCGTACATTTTTCCCCGATCGTCTGTATTCCTATAAGACAACCAAATGGCATTTAATAAAGAAAAACAAATTAAATACGAACAAATTTACTTGAAGTGAAATTAAGCTTATAAACCTTCTTTGAAAAATTGAGTTTAGATGAATAGAAAGTGAGTCTCTTTCCTTTATAGTCAAGCTTTTCTTCATGAAGAAATTTTCAGTTTCCTTTATTATTTTTCTTCCATTCTTCCCATAAGTTCCTTGTTTTCTTTTATCCTTCATTCCTTCCCCTACGTTCATCCCTCTGTTATCATCTCACAGCATTCTTCCTCATTTCCTTCCTTCCTTCCTTCCTTCCTTCCTTCCTTCCTTCCTAAGGTTCATTCCCATTACCCTTCATCCTCCTCCTTCTCCTCTTTATAATAAACCTTTAAAGCATACACTTGAACACTATATTATTGAATGCGACTCTGTCAAAGACTTCAGGCCACCTGGCTTATTGTATCATGATGTATGTAATTACTACACTGAATCAGGGTGCTTGAGGACATTCTTGCTGTCTATCCAAAATTTGGTAGTCCACACTGATTAATCCTCAAATTGAATATGACTTCTACTGTTTATGAACCACTGTCCTGCGTGGCAGTGAACAGTGATATCACCCACATGACTCTGACCTATGTATACTATTTCTGAATATGATCTATTTCTTTGTGTATGAACCTCTGTCCTACGTGGAAGTGAGAAGTGATAGCACCCTCGGTGTCAAGACCTGAATGAATAAATTAGAATAGGCAAACTGTACTCCAAGCTTTGCCAATAAATTTAACAGTAAAAAATCCTCCTTCTCCTCCTCCTCCAACTCACCAAACAGAGCGGGAAGTCGACCGGAGTGTCTGGGTTCACCTGACCAGAGACACAAGTGAGTGGCAGGTTCCTCACGAAGTCAAGCACGCAATTGTGAGACCACCCGGCCAGGCTCATGTCGTTGATCTTCAGTAGTCGATCTTGAGGCCTGCCGGGGGGGGGGAGGGACCACAGGCGTGTTAGTACTACTGAGGTGATATGAGAGAGAGAGGCAGAAAGTGTGTTTGTAAGAAAGACAGACGGAAACAAAGAGGACGAGAGATAATTAGGAAATGGAATAAGATGGAACCAATTACACACACACACACATACACATTCCTTTACTTACTTGAGCTTGAGGGCAGATAAGGGCGAAACAGGAGACACCTTATACACAGAGTGATCGCCCATCACCTGGTCAGTAGCTAAGAAGATCCCAAAGGAGATACTGGTACGTGGGGTTGAGGCGCTGCTGGGATCAAATAAACTCATCTCCGTCACGAACTTATCCGAGAGGCTCATCTGTAGTGGATAATAACGCGAGTATTAAAAGTGAGTCATTGTGGTTTGATAGAAGTTGACGGATAGTTAGGATGGGGATTGAGGTGGATTATATAAGCTAGGAGGATTTGATGAATGGCATTGCAACTAATTGGGTAAGATTCAGTAAATATACATAGTTTCACCATTGAACTGCTATGAGTGGCCTAAAGTATTACAAAACACTTGTGACTCCAAAAAAAACAAAAGCCACCACTTACCGTAAACCCCGAAGCTCGACTGCCGCTCCTGGTGATCGATTTCCTGGCAGGTGGTGTTGAGGATGGAGATGAAGGCCTACCTATAGACGCAGGCGGCGTTTTGGGGCCACTTGACGCCCTGGGGAACGTGTTGCTCTTGCTGTCGAAGATGATGGTGCTCAGGATAGAGTTGTTGTTGACGATGTCCACGTCATCGTTTTCCACCATGCTACTGGGACGCTCAAACGACGTAGGACCTATGTTAACAGGCAGGTGAAATGGGTTAATTTTAATGTCCTGTGGGTTATGGGAGAGAACGATAAGACAATCAGGAAGAGTATAGGAAGGCTTATAGGGCCTGTCCTTATAATGGTGTTGACGTTTACTGTAATACAACACATTAACAACTGTGGTCGTTAAACACGTCTTCAGCAAGTGTAACTCAAGAGAGATACAGTAGATACATCTCTCTGGTGGTGAGCTGAGGAACGATGGGATTATTTTTTTTTTTTAAGAAATGACAAACAATGTTGATATGTGATCTATATTAGACGTGATAGGACCAAACAAACTAATACACATTGTGGGGGTTCCTGAAAGAATCTTTGAATTTTAACTGAGTTGAGAACTGTCACAAGTGCTGAAGGAATCCATTTAACATCGTGTTCGTGTACACTCGGGTGACATACATTTAGATGTAGTGATTACTTGAGAAAGACTCTAACCAGCGATGGTGAAGAGCAGATTAGAGGGACCTTAACCATTTGTCTACACAGTGCCAGGGTGCCACTTTTTACTCACGTGAGGTGGTTCCTCCAGCCTGGCCTGAGTTGCCACTGCCTGTTGATGCCGCATCACTGGAAAACATAAATAAGTAAATAAATGGGTAATGGTTTGATCTCATACTTACTAGAGTATTTCTCGTCAACTTATATAAACACACACACACACACACACACACACACACACACACACACACACACACACACACACACACACACACACACACACACACCAAAACACACAAGGAGTTTCTCACCTGTCTTCCTTCAGGCTAACGCTGTCCAGTTCTTTTGCTATCGTCTCCACCTGTAGTGAAAAAGGACCTACGTGATCACTTGACACACAAACAACACCACCTGTCAGTATAGTTCCCTAATATACAGATAGAGGTTAAAATTAACTTGACCTACTGACATGGACGAGTTCAATTAATTTGGCTAAATGTGTCTACTTGTTCGTGATTTATGTTTCGTCACTTATTTCTCCATTGTCTTTCTGCTCTTCCTAAGTCAAATTTAACCTGAAGAGAATTACCAATAAGATGGGATTGTATTTAAGGAGAGCTAAAACACACACACAGGCACACACCAGGACTCACAGGCTACACCTCCTAGCAAATAGTACCGACAGTCGTCCTAATCTATCGTACAGCCCGGAACCCGTGTTGGGATTGACAATAAAAGAACACAGTTAACGTGAGCTACAAACGTATTTTGGTTGTAGGAAGCGTGTTAGAGTTAGTTAAAAGTAATGCATGGAAAAAGTTTTGTTTATATGGAGAAGGGTAAAACCATTACATGAATGTCTTTATTGTGAAAGCTTAAGTTACATTAGTTTAGTATTTGTACTGTGTCTGTCTGTAATATTTACTTAGGTGTGTATAAGTGTGTGTGTGTGCGCGCGCCTCGTGTCTTCTTTTTTGTATTATTCTCATTTAATATTAATTCATTTTTAAGGAGTTCTTTGATGTTATCGGAATTTAGTATACGAGTATAAGATCACGAATGATGTATAATATTGTAGAGAATTACTCTTGGTTTATCTAACTCCAGTACAAGCAAGTTATTTACATGGGCTATTTGCTTGTACCAAAGACCATGGGTGACAGACCTATTGTGATAAACATCAGCAGGAAATCCCAAACGTCACGCGACTGTAATACTTTCCGGTGTGGCGTGAGCTGGTCTGTATTCTCTTTGTGAACGTCATTGTTGCTTGATGTAGGTGAATATAAAAAGTTTGTCTGTATAAAAAACAAATTATTGAACTTGTGTTATAATGTGTTTAGTTAACATTAGTTGATATTTAACTGCGTCAGTAACTCTCCACGTAGTTAGTTCACTGACTCATCTCACTCATTCTGAAATATTTTTTTTTTACTAGTTGACTCACATACGAAGAAAAAAATTAATTCCCAAAAAACTATTATCACCAACAGGCAACAATTACCCCTACCGTTGCCACAACAATAGGGGGAACTGCTGCCTGTTACATAGACGCACCTGTAGTTTCACCTGTAGGAAGCTGATACGCTAATAAGCTCTTCATCGCAGACCTGAAGGTTAACACAGAGACCGGAGACGGACCTGTGACTTATCTACCATGAGAGAAATAAACACAAATTCAACTGCTGATCCTAAAAAATGATTAATTTATTGATATTTTTCTGGTATTTTTCTTGAATAGTGAATACGTAGTGAAAAGAAATGTATCGGTATATTAAGAGGCCTTTATTTTACTCAGGTTATGCATAAACTTGTCAATAGTCGTAGAGTATTAGAAAAATATTAACGATACGACGTGATATTAGAAGTGTTATATATCAAAGGATCGTCCGTTCTCCTCAAGCCACAATGGTCATTACTACACATGTATTTCCTCTTTGACTATTAAGTTACCCCGTCATAGTTGTTATACACATGTCATCATTTCCCTGACAGTTTTAATAATGTTTTGTGTGGCGCAATGGTCCAGCGTCTTGATCACCCGAATACCGTCTAATTTGTGTTCTGTTTTCGATATGTTTGTTGTGTTGAGGCTATACCCGTCCTTACTACCGCCAGTTATGAGCTTGTGGTGTTACACTGGGGATGAGAATAACATGACATATTACTGTAGAATTTGGTGTGCTTTAAACTAACAAAATATATGTCCCGGTGACTTACAGGAAGCGTGAGAGTGATAAAGAGATTATCCAGCTATCGAGGGTTGGTTGTGTTCGTTTGTGTCGGGTTTATTTCCGCAGCTGAAAAGAGCAGTCATCGCCACATACTCAGGCAAGTAACACGTAACTTATAAGAGAAATAATGATGATGAAATCCCTTTCCTGCGCCACATCCCAAACCCAAGGAGCCACAACTCTATATAGTGAGAGTAACAACAGATAACACTGAATGTTGATATCGCTTGTGGTCCTGTTGTGTTATCATCCACTCTGTATCTGTGTTTTTCTGGCTAAATAAACTGTTTCAATTCAATTCAAATTCAGAGTTTGGTTAAAATTCACGGCCATTTTTATGAGTTATCGTATTTAAGGTTCCCGGACGCTCGCTCGCATAGTCAGGTATTCCCCCTTCTGTCACAGCCGAAGACAAATACATAATAACAAAAGGTATTGGACTCACCATGCCGTCCTCGCCGATCTCCTCCACTATCACGTCCTCCTCGGTGATAGTGGCCACGTTCACTCCCTGCCATTTAGCCATCGTTATTCTTCTTCTGCTTGACGCTGTTGGTAGTCCTGATCGTACGTGCTGTATCTGGTATCGATGTAGGTAATTCTGGTGGTATTTATGTTACCCTTTCTGCAACCTGAGTCTTTTAGAGGCAGTTCTGGTCGTGTCAGTGCTGGTGGTCGTTCTGGAGACACTGTACTGCTGCTGTCATGAGAAATATTGTGTTTCTTCTTTCGTGCTGTTATTATCTGTGTTGACACACCTCTTGACAATGCTGATGTTTGATAGCGTAACCTGCTGTTGTTTTTGTCTTGGCAATAGTGAGTGGTTTTAACTCCAACCAGTAATGTAGCGGCAATTCCAAGGGCTGCTGAAACTACTGCTAACAATGATCCAGCTGTCCTCCCCTAATATAAGAACAGCTGCATGTAGTAGTAATGGTGGAGCAGTGGTTTTATTACATAATTATGTAAATTTCCATCTGAGTTTGATGCTGTCAGGCTGTTACTACTACTACTACTACTACTGCTACTACTACTACTACTACTACTACTACTACTACTACTACTACTACTACTACTACTACTACTACTATATATTCTGATAATGACGTTGTTTATATTAATGGTGTCTGTTGGTGCAGCTGTTTCCCTCAACAGATGTGGTGCCAGGATGTTTTGGTTCTTATATTTTCTGTTGTCACTGTGTTGTCACTATTCGTCTTCAAGTTGAAAACACTACTAAGAGTAAGTTAAAGATACTAATGTGATCAGAAGAATATAAACCCACACTAATCTTTATAATGTTTTCTTTTCTTTTTCATTCCTCCATTCTGTTTTCTTTTTTATTATATATATCGTTGACACTAACACCAATTAGTCTTTCTCTCTTGTTTGATGTTGTTTGTTGTTTACATGTGGTTACTGTGGTAATCTCTCGTCTGTTTACAACTCTCACCTCACCAACCTGGAAGATTAGTCTAATGTTAATACCGAAACAAGATAAGATATGGAACACCTGATAATTCGCCCCCCACATCTTAACTTAGGTTAGGTTAGGCTAGGTTAGATTAATTTACTGTAGGTTAGATTACTTTTGATTAGGTTAGATTAGTTCAAGGCAGTTAACATTAAGATAAAATGATCTGGGGGTCTAAGATCTTGAAGTATTCCGAAGTTATAAACGATGGTTAACTCTTTTCAAACAATTTACATACTAGTAAAGCAATACAATACTTCCCTTCTGTCAGTAACTATCACTAATATGTCCATCCTGTTGGTCTGAGTGGATCAGTAATCGAACATTACAAAGAAGAAAAAATAGGATTTCCTGAGTTGTTTTTTTTGTCTCTCTTTGTTGGTTCAGGATGTAACCCCAAGAACCGGTCTGTCCCTCACACTGCGTAACACCAGCTGGGGGTATACAACACCAGCTGGGGGTATACAACACCGGCTGGGGGTATACAACACCGGCAGGGGGTACACAACATCGGCTGGGGGTACGCAACACCGGCTTGGGGTACACAACACCGGCTGGGGGTACACAACACCGGCTGGGGGTACACAACACCGGCTGGGGGTACACAACACCGGCTGGGGGTACCGGCTGGGGGTACACAGCACCAGCTGGGGGTACACAACACCAGCTGGGGGTACACAACACCAGCTGGGGGTACACAACACCGGCTGGGGGAACACAACACCGGCTGGGGGTACACAACACCGGCTGGGGGTCACTAGAGGACACGACCAAGATATTATGACGCTAATGATAAAATAAATCGTATATACATATCCCATTCCTATGTTGTGTATGAAGCAATCAGCGCTGAGTGAGGACAGGTGAGGAAAGCCGAGTGGAAAGCATGATAAATATGGCAGCTGTAGACAGGAGGAAGAGGGACAGGAAAGTGACTTATGGAGAAGTGATAAAACAGACATACTGGACAAAGGAAGGATGAGAGATAACACGTAAGAGACGAACAAATGGATAAGGAAGACCCGAGAGGTACAGTACATGCTGTAGTGTCGTCCTTTTTTACACTAGACATTTGTGAGTCGAACTAGAATCATAATACACATAATTGGGCAGACTGGGTGGGGGTTTACCATTAGGTGTGAGACTCTCCTGCAGACACACAATATCGAGGTCAGGGTATCGCTTCCTGAGAGATGAGATGTTCCGACTCATCACCTTCACCTGTCTACATCTTTGCCTGATACTCTATTTGGAAGGAAGTCGCAGACACTTTAAGACAGCATCTTTTTCTGAGCAGTCTTTCGCTTCTTAAGGCAGGAAGAGCCCTAGTTTTCTAGAAACAGGTCTGGAGCATAAACTAGACAGCAGTTGTTTTATTTAATTGTAAGACTCACACACCAGTAATTATAATAAGTAATGGTTTATTGAAAGAACATGTTAGCCAAAGTGGGCCACTTGATTGGTAAATAAAGTAGTACAATATATAATGACAAGGGGGAGAGGGTCATTTAACAAGGAATTTCAGTACCGTTACAGTACAGAAGTGAGATTGGCAGAGAGTGAACACACTGGTTAACTACGAGTTGTTATTTTTACAATGGTTGGAACTGGGCTGTTCTTGTGGCGACCAGAACGTGGTTGTAGGAGAAGGATGCAGTTGTAGTGTGTGTATGGGGTGGGGGGGGGGGGTTACTGAGAACCTAAACAGCATCTTCAATATTTCTTAAGATTTCTGGAACCTACATAAGATTCCCTGACTCCCGTCCGAGGTTCTTTGTATTTTCCACATTAAAAATAAATAAATAAAAATAAAAAAATCATTGAAATATTAAGATTTAACAGTAACTGATGGAAGCTTATCGTTCACATATATGAAATATAAAATAATAAACTAAAGCGTAAAAACACTTTCGGAAAAGTAGATGCGTAAATAAATAATTCGGCCAATAAATACTCATATAAAGAGTTGATAAATATGTGAACCACTTAGAAATGTTAGTCACAGTCATAATAATCGTAATGACTCAAAAGCTACTGATATTTACAGAAAGTTTTAATCGCTAATGTCATACGATCTAATCTAAAATATGAACTTAATCGATCTTAGTGGTTTAAGATCAACCACACATTATAACATCAACACTGCGGATGAAAACTAGACTTGAAGTACAACCAACACGTCAAAAGCCATCTTACCGTACAAGTAAATATTTCTGCCAGGGTGTGATGATCTCTACTGACGGTTCAGAGCCGCCCACCTCGCCTCGGCACCACCTCGCCTGAGCCTTGGAGCGAGTGTGAGGGACAGTTGAAGGTACTCCCCAGGGATAGTTGTGACCTTCACTCTTCTACGCCTTCCACCTATCATGTGTTTCCGTGTGTGTGTCGCTGGGAAAATAAACGATAATAAGGGGACAGGCACTGGCACTCCTTCCCTTCTACCAGCTGACTCGGTCGGTACCCCGCGCATGTCCTTTGCGTCTCTGGGGTTTCCATTGTTTTAATAAAGAATATTTCTCCTTTGCTTTTACACACTTATCTCAACACCCGACTACACAGACTTACCAATGACTTTAGGGTGAATCCATCAGCCATCAACCGATAGAGTAAGTGATGAGAAGTAATGATACACAGTTTATGTGAATGATGTAGAAATCTCGTGTCACGTAATGTGCAGCGTTTTGCTTTATCTGTCGACGCTTCCTGTCAACATTCGTGCACCCATGGGTTTACCCTGTGTCTCCTGCCCTGTGTGTGAATGATAAGTCATGTGATGAACCCTTCAGTAAGTTTGTTCTTGGTTCTATACGTAAACGTTGGTGCAAAATTTAATTTTTTGTTATTGAAAACCGGGTGACTGAATATGTATAAACAAGGATTAAGATAATTTTTCGTATGAATAGGAATATAACAATGAGGCAACTGTCCCACGCACTCCACCCTATTACTGCACACACACACACACACACACACACACACACACACTCACTCACTCACAGTAATTAGCAGGAAAGCAGGATAATGAAACGCAAATATACGTACTGATTTTCATATTTCCTTAAGATTACATAAAACTGTATTTTCATCATGCTGTGAGAGAATAACACTATGACACTATTGCACAGAAGGCGGCGTCCTCGGCTGGGAGCGCTCCTTCACCCACTTGTATGAGATAATATTCCCAGTGGGTGTCACAAAGTGAATCAATCTTTAAAGGGTAAAATCCTCATCCTTATAAGATTGAAGATGAGACTTTAAATATCAACATCCTTAGAGGGTTAGGCATGAAAACTTAAATTTCACAATCCACAAGGAGTTAAACAAACGCCATACAGTCCAAGACGTCAATGGAACATTTTGAATGGTCCTTGACGTCACTTGGGCTTTATACAGCTGAAAGAAATTAGCTTCAAATACATCCTATAATGGCTCATCTAAGGCAGCTAGACATCGTACACACCAGTACTAGCTCATTATCATACAAATTAATGCTAGTCGGACACCATAAAACTCCAGCGATGTTTTAATGGAGCAAGTGGCGTAGATTAGACACACCAATATTGATCAGGTTTCTGTAGTCGCTGTTAACATGTTGAGGGGCGTTCAGTATGCAAGTACCAAGAGTATAACAGTGTCCAAATCATCGTTGTTGTTGGGTTTTTATCGCTTTAGCTGGTACTGCCATGAGGTCATAAGCTAACCCCCATTACTCCAAGCAATCCAAGATGAAAGTTCCAATGCTTTAACCCACCATATAACGAATCCGCCACGAGGCTCAGATATTTATAGAATTGTTCATAGTTGTTCTACTTTCAGTGATAAAACTAACAAGAACTTTAAAAGAGTTAAGACGCTAATGTAAGGGGTTAGTAGTTGTCTTTTGTTAACATCTTACCGTGGCATTTCCACCTGGGAGGAGATAAACCACAAGACATGGGAGGTTAGTGGAAAAGTTAAAAGTGGAGGCGAATCTTGTACATTCCCCCAGTGGCCGCCTTGATAACTGTGTGTAGTGACGTCTTAACACAAGGCTGCTCTCGTAGGGAAATCAAACTCATTGATAAGCTAACAGAAGAGAGGGTTCTTTGCTGGCTTTAATAGAAGTTTATACTGAGTTGAAAGTAATCCAGAAAAATACATATGAGAGAGAAAGTTTCCGAGAAAACAAAAATGGAAGATGCAGTGTACAGCAGCGTTGTCAGCGAGGAGCTCTCACTATGTTAATGAGCTGAGGTGAGGTAAACCACGTTATAGGGGTTGTAGATTAACCCAATAGTCAAAAGTATAAAAAAAATCATACCAGGCTTATCGTCGATTAATATAGCATATGATTTGCATATTGTGTTATGTATACAATCACTATAAACAAATTTTCATCTAACATTAAGGTATAATTGTTTTAAATTAAAGTTGTTTTTATTTACTTTGGTGCGCAGAATATTTTGTCTTTTACCAGTAGAAATTGCCGGCCCACGTGGTTCTGAAATCTGCACAGGTATTTAGTCTCAAAATCAAATAAAAATAAAATAGAAAAATTCCTGGATAATTTTGTGTCTTCCTGGCGAGAACGGTTCAGTAATTCACAATGAGTTATCGTTACATCATAAAAAAATAACAAAATTGTATACTGGAACTCCGCCTCAGTTTACTTCTGAAGTCTTATTGTATAACGCGAGGATGATAGCTCAGTCACCTCTCAATTATATAGGACATAATAGTGTTCTCATTAAACTGATAATACGCAGCATAAACTTTCATTTTCTATGGATTATAAAGATTAAAAAACGCAGGGACCGATAAGACTTGATGCTGGATACACTGTGAGTACAACCTCGACGTAAACAACAAGACTCTTCGCCTCCACATAGCAAAGATAAAGGATCTATACACACACATACACTACAACAACCGAAGACTCCCTCAGTGTCTTCAGCAGCAGAGCCTAAATTCTCAAAGATTTGTATTGCATCTATTTACCCCAAGTGAGGATGAAATAACTTATCTTGTTACAGGGAGCCAAATGACCGTATTGGACCACGGCCGCTCAGTCAGTTGCAGTTTAACATTCATAGGGATAAAATATAATTAACATACTAACTGAAATCCAGGTTAGTTACACCAGGAGACATCATTCCAGACCAACTGAAACCAAATACATCCATCCATTATATATAATCACACTGATAAACAGAAAGAAACGAACTTAACACAATTTGTGTATATACTTTATCACTGTTGAATATTTTTCGTAGAAAAGGTTGATCCACTGGTCGGAAGTTATATTTTGATGGAAACGAAAGGTTTTTTTTTTACACTTTTTTTTTTTACTTATTTTCGTCCATTGTGACAGGACTTGAACGCTTCAAATGGCAAGAGAGTTACAGAAGCTGTGTACAAAATAAGCATTTCCCTCATGGCTACTACTGGTCGTGCTTGACTAGGCAGCAGATGGCGCCGTCGCAAATTATCTTACAGGGTAAAGAATTGTTTTACCTTTTGAGCAAAGATAAAGCTATGCCCTATTTTGTGAGGCATAATGGGTGAGTTGCCTAAAGTGCGTGTTCCCCGCCGTCACCCTCACACGGCCTCCAACCACACGGCGAGACGGAAGTAAACAAATGCTTTGAACTGCACTGTCAGACTTAAGAGCATTACTACACGTCCGACCACATGCAGTAAGTATACTGTGTATTTAAGTTTAATCTCAAGGGATAATTTCCCATCTAAGGACCATTGTTAGTAAATTCTTGAACTGATCTGAATCAAATATCATATTTACATAGCCAGATGTGTCTCTTATAGAAGACTACAAGTGAATAAAACAGAACCTGAAACACACACCATACTGTACACACCTGCACCAGGTCTTCAGAATACATAAATACCACATATGTAAATTATCCCTAAATATACACCACCTGTTAAAGTCTTCCATAATAAAGTAAATAAGTCATCATATTGTTATAACTGAAGTGAATGATAATCTGCTTCCTGGTTCGCTCCTGAATGCCATTTCGTAGATCAATGTAGTGTTGTCTAATTGAGCTTGGAACATATTTTTGGTCATTAAAGCCTCTCCATCGCTGAGAGATGCCAACACCACACAAACTCTCTCACGTCACACTAGGTATAAAAATCAAATGCCCGATACTGAACCAAAACAACACATTTCCCTCATCGTAGAAACCTTTATCCCAAACACACTTCTTATCCTCTCTTGACAACAATTTGTTCACACTTCTCTTCCTAATGGCCCTGTGTTTTTTGTTTCGTATTTTCTGTGTTGTGTTCTGCATATCCATTTCAAATCAGTAATAATGATATTTGTAAACACCGTAAACACGTATCATCTCAGTCTCTCGTGTTAGGCATCCGCTGATTTTTTTTTACAATGATAGGGATTTGTCTGTCTCGACCCTGACCATTTAAAATCCCTTATGGTCGTTCACCACATTGAATCAAGTTGTCTGTTATTCGGCTTTCAATCTCATTAAAACACAACTCCAAGAAGATGTCACCAGTGTATGAGCTGCGACAAGATGATGATGATTCTGACGACTCCTGTGACCCCTCCGAACATGAAGTAAAAATGAAGGTCAACGTTGAGTGATTGGACCACAAACAAGCTCAAATCAGATCAACATTGGATCATTTGCTCGAAGAAGATGAAGATGCTTAGGTGACCAATGATCACCTCATCTTCGTGGAGCACGTAGAGAAGTCAGGTCAGGTCAGCACTCGGTCACTTGCTCAAAGTTGATGAGGAAGCCGGTGTGGCCAGTAGTCTCGTCTGAATGGAAGTGGAACTTTAGACTGGTGGCGTCAGGCTGGAACGACACGACCCCTGGGGAGAGAGAGATGGTGAGTGAAAGAAAGGAACACGTGTGTGTGTGTGTGTGTGTGTGTGTGTGTGCGTGTGCGTGTGCGTGTGCGTGTGCGTGTGTGTGAAAACTTTCTTCATTTTTAAGGTTCTGAAAAAGCAGAGTTATACAAGAAAAAAATTATATCAGTGAAAACATAGTCTTCGAGGAAATGGGTTTTTGTTCTTGGTTGTCCCAAAACTAACATGCAAAATCTCCTTGAATATTACCTTATTTTCTTTATTTAATAACACCTTCTACTTCCAGAGTATTGATAGTATTTAATTATAACTACTATGTACTTTAGCTCCCGAGTATGTAAAACCGGTTAACATTGCCATACTTAGTTAACATTGCCGTATTTATAATAGAAGTTATCATTGTCTTACTTAGACGAGGAATTAACGCCGTCTTGCTTAAAATACAAGTTAACCTTGCCATACTTACAAGAGAAGTTAACTTTGCCGCAGAGGAAGCCGCAGGAGGGCAGGTGAAGGAAGTCTGTACAGGCGCCCCCGAAGATAGTCATGAGGGGCGGGTCCATCTCGAAGGTGACAGACTGCATCCTTATCCCACACACATCCTGGCTAGACCTGTGGAAGTTAGGGGGTTTAGTAGGTGACCCGGGGGAGTGAGGGGGGGTTAGTAGGTGACCCGGGAGGGGGGGTTAGTAGGTGACCCGGGGGAGGTGACCCTGGGGAGGAGGGGGTTAGTAGGTGACCCGGGGGGTGAGGGGGGTTAGTAGGTGACCCCCGGGGAGTGAGGGGGTTAGTAGGTGACCCGGGGAGTGAGGGAGGGTTAGTAGGTGACCTGGGGAAGTGAGGGGGAGTTAAGTAGATGACCTGGGAGAGGCCCAGGGGACTTAGAGAGATAAGGAAATTATATTATATGGATAATTTGCAGGAAACGGAAACGTAGAATAAATAGTAGGAGTATTAACTTAGCTCTCGATGTTGCACACAGGAGGAACGAGAACGACAAGATAAGGGCATACGGGGAGAGAATTCAGAACGTTGATCAAGGCAGCTTCACTCTTCTAGTGTTCACAACCACCTGGTGGGATGGGACCAAATGCAAGATGCTTCTACGCCAGACTCGCAGAGGTGACATCCGAACAGAAGCAGCAGCCCAGAAGTTACGTTACAGCCTGGATGAGATGTCGACTGTCTGTCTCTCTCCTTCGGTCTGCTTTGCTCTGCCTCAGGGGAACGAGAGCATCGGCCCCAAAGCCGACAGCAGTTGCAGATATTGACTATGAGGCAACAGTCACTGAATGTCGCATAGATCTGCGGCTCTACTAACTCAACACAGCTAGGATAGCTACTTATGTATTAGGATATTTAATATTAAGGTAATAAAATGGTGGCGAAGGTATGGCTAATGGGGGAGGCTGGAGGCCATATTTTGTATAAAAAAATAGTATTTATAGTAGTAGTAGTAGTAGTATTTATAGTATAGTTGTAGTAGATCATTAGTATTATTATTTATAGTAGTAGTAGTATCTTTAGTAGTAGTATTTATAGCATAGTCGTAATAGTATCATTAGTAGTAGTATTTATAGTATAGTCGTAATAGTATCATTAGTAGTAGTATTTATAGTATAGTCGTAATAGTATCATTAGTAGTAGTATTTATAGTGTAGTCGTAATAATATCATTATTAGTAGTATTTATAGTATAGTCGTAATAGTATCATTAGTAGTAGTATTTATAGTATAGTCGTAATAGTATCATTAGTAGTAGTATTTATAGTATAGTCGTAATATTATCATTAGTAGTAGTATTTATATTATAGTCGTAGTAGTATCATTAGTAGTAGTATTTATATTATAGTCGTAGTAGTATCAGTATTATCATTACGTATAATTTCTCCATTTACCTTCTCTCTAAACTGACCTGATAAACTCGTAGACACAGTCGAGGTTGTCTGGGTACTTCTTGGGATGGTATGGGGTATTGACGGTGCCCCGGATATCTGTGATCTTGGTGTAGCAGGGCGCTGATGATGTGCCCGGGATGACTGATATTGGCGGGGTCTGTGTCTGATAGGGTCCAGTGCACGTGGTCAGCGATTGGTACCTGGTGGCGGTAGATGGTGTTAGATTGTGGTACTTGGTGACAGATGGTGGTGTTTGGTGGTAGATTGTGGTAGATACTTGAGGGTATATGATAGATTACTGATAGATAGCTTTGAATGGCTGATGGTGGTAGTTGGTGGCAGATGATTACAAATGGTGATAGGTGGTGAAAGGCGAGGGCAAAATGGTGGTAGGTGGTGAAAGGTGAGAGCAAAATGGTGGTAGGTGGTGAAAGGTGAGGGCAAAATGGTGGTAGGTGGTGAAAGGTGAGGGCAAAATGGTGGTAGGTGGTGTAAGGTGAGGGCAAAATGGTGGTAGGTGGTGTAAGGTGAGGGCAAAATGGTGGTAGGTGGTGAAAGGTGAGAGCAAAATGGTGGTAGGTGGTGAAAGGTGAGGGCAAAATGGTGGTAGGTGGTGTAAGGTGAGGGCAAAATGGTGAGCATATGGTGGTAATGAGTTTAAAATATAATAATAAATAATGATAAGGCGATTTCGATATACTTAAATTATTTTGCATAGTTTACTAATCATCAAAATCTACAGTATATTAGGTTTAGAGCCAATGACTGACTGACTGACTGACTGACTTACTTGATCCTGAAGCCACTACGACCCTCCGACACCTCACCGGCATGAAAGACGAACCTAATGGCTGAGGCTCCGGGCTGGAACAGGTACTGAACTGTGGGGGGAGAACAAGGTCAGGACGTTACCACAATACCACATTCCATCGTGTTATAAAGTTACTATTGTTGGCTGAACTAGAGGGAAAGATTGACTGTTTGGTGGCTACTATATCCCAGTAGTTTATGATAGTGTAAAAATGTTGGTCTGAGTATTGAGTCATCTTGGAAGATATTAGTCAGGTTATGAAACTCCAGTTCTGTATTAAAGGATCATTTTAGAGTTTCAGATTTAATATGATATTATTTTTAGAACGTATATCTGTTTAGGAGATGATTATAGTGTGTCTCGAGGCTCAAAAGTCTCGTATCAATATCATGGTAATTGTGAACCTGTAATGTGACCCATAAGTATTGACAGTACGTGGGCAATTTATATACACACAAAAGACTAAAACAGCATCGTACCAACACTGAAACATTGCCCTCAATCTTCAACAATAAAAATTTCATCGTCTTCTGTTCTTAGTAATTTCTCACTTTTTCTCACCTTTCTGTTATTTGTATTTTTATCTCCTACGCATAAACCAAATAACCTGCGTTATTTGTTAATACCAGGTGTTGTGCTTGTTATCACCTGTAAGGTAGTGAGACTTACACACTTGACCGGTGGAGTTGCCGCAGATCCTGGTGCCTCTTTCAGGTACACAGGAGGGCAGCGACACCCAGTCCCGTCTACAGAAGCCTTCCTCCTCCCCGCGACCCACGTCCAAGTTCTCCACTGTGGGAAAATATTGTGTTATTATTATTATTTATTTATTATTATTATTATTATTATTATTATTATCATCATTATTTTATTATTATTATTATTATTATTATTATTATTATTATTATTATTATTATTATTATTATTATTATTATTATTATCATTATTATTATTATTATTATTATTATTATTATTATTATTATTATTATTATTATTTTTCCTTAAAGGTTGACCTCTGTCTCACCTGTAAATTTAACTTCTTCCTTAATTATAATCTTGACCCCCACCCCCCCTCTTACCTGTAAGCCTGACTCCACAGTGCTTAGGGCTGGGCCTGGCGATGTCATAGCAACAGTCTCGGCCGGGCGGGTACTGGTTGGGGAAATTGGGGGACTCGAGGAACCCGTTCTCACCCGCCAGGGAAAAGTGACACCCAGGCTCACGGATCACGTCTGTAAACAAATGGATTATTTGAATCAAAAGATAATATTACTCACGTTTAAGAATACTAAGATTGCTTATTCATTTAAATATATCCTAAGAGGGTATTTTTTTTAGCCTTTACTCAAAATACTTACTAACGTGACTTAATGATGCTTTTATTGAAGGAAACATTGCGTAAAATATTTTACACGGTGTTATCGATAGTAGATATTATCTTCAGTAAGGTTACAATTGTATCATCTATCTAAATAACTCAATTATCTAAGCTACAGTTAGGTAATATCTGCACCTTTAGACACTACAGGATACAGGAGATTTACCAACAGCTAAAATCAGGATAAATTTCAGTCATAGGTAATAAACCAGCTTGGTCTTGTTACGGGCACAACAGCTAACACTTCCCAGCGAATGCGTTCGAGTCTCGATTGATCAGGTTTATTTAGCATCATTTTACAATGCTCTCAGTAACGTCTTGATTTCCTTTCTGATTAATTGTTATTAATTTTTCTAAATGCATTGAAGGTAGATTGACATACACTTTATATAGAAAGATATTTGTAAATTGGAGACTGTCTTCATCCTAAGTAATTATCTATGGACTCTTAACACTGGGGTAAAGGCGACGTACTCCTGAAGGGTTGACCTGCCTTAAGATCCTCATAAGAAATTGACTGATATCCCGGAGGAGGAGGAGGAGGTCCGTGAAACTAGGTTGAAGGTATCCATAGACTTTCCTCTGATAGGTGTGTCCATCACCTCCTGACACTGAGACAGGTATGATTAGTGCTTTACGTGTGAGGAGTAACACTCTCTCTCTCACAGTGTAGTTTTAAGGGCGTCATTTCTTTTCATAACTGTCTTAGTAACAATCATTCCAATACCACACCTTTATTAATGGTAATAACATCACCTGCAATAACATCAGAGGTAAACAAAAGTCTCGTTCATTAGTGGTTGGTCAGTCTACTCCGGTGACGAAAACATTGAACAGGTGAGAGTGATGTGGTAACCTGGTGATTACACAACTCTCCCAAGCACAACAAGAGCTAACCGATCCCCTAAAGATTAGCGCCATCCCCCGGCTTAGCTATTTCACCTGGTAATTAAACACCCTAACGCTACCTGGGTGGGTTAGATTAGGTAAGGTTAGGTTAGGTTAGGTTAGGTTAGGTTAGGTTAGATTAGGTTAGGTTAGTTTAGCGTTAGATTAGGTTTGGTTAGAGTGGTTGATCATAAGGTAAAATAACTGGGAGTGACTAATCTTCACATGGTCTGGTATAATCATGATGCCTATTCTTCAGTGTTATCTTTCATTATTCTTAATTTTTCATCTGTGAGGCATGAACTTATAGTGTCTAGACGTTTATCGGTTTAAAGTGACAGCATAGTCACTTTAAACCCTCAACCTCCTTCATTCGTCGTACTCAAGGGGTTAAAATCATTGTACTCAAGGGAGAGAGTAAGAGAGAGAGAGACCCTTCAAAGACTAGACTTTACTGACTTTAGTAATGGTAAACCCCAACACAGGGGTTGAGGAAGGGGTACTAAGGAATGGGGTACAGGGGGTGAGGAAGGGGTAACAGGGTAGGGGTACAGGGGGTAAGGAATGGGTACTAAGGGATGGATGTAGTATAGGGGGGGTGAGGAAGGGGTACTAAGGGATTGATGTAGTATAGGGGGTGAGGAAGGGATACCTGGGGAAAGGGGTACTGAGGAAATGGTTGGAAGGGGTATTAGGGGTTGAGGAACGGGGGTAGAAATTTTTTACTGAAATAGGGATAAAATCATAAATAAATTTGTAATGACGAAAACAAGGCGGCGTTCACACCAAACGAGTCGAGTCGAATCGAGTCACTAAAAGTCTTGACTGCGTGACTCGCCATTCAAAGGGACATTATTTTGTTTATAATTTTGCAGAAACCGTTCACACCAGGGGAGTCGAGTCGATTCGAGTCACGCCGAGTCGATTCGATTCATAAATACGACCAGACTCATTTTTTCGTCAGTCATCGCGAGTCCGTTGTGGTGGATCTCACAGTTACTTATAAGATTTAATATATATATTTTTTTAATTCTCGACATAATGTTTCATAATAATTTGTCACTATTATCCTTCAAATATGACTTTACTTATCAATATTATGTTTCAAATCAAATACAAACCTTACCTTAGAAATATGGCTATTATTTCTTCAACTCCAATGGCACGTCTGTAGTTTAAGTATTTTCTTTAGAAATATTCCTGTCATATTAACCAGCTTCTTAAAGTTTTCCATTGTCATTCTGGAGAAATAGTTCAAATTCTGGTTGGTTTAGCAAGTCTGGAAACACATGACTAAAATCACCAAAATCAGGTGTTTTGGTGTCTCGAGTTCATGAACCCATTACTCGGTTCCTCTTCCTCCTAAGCCGCCGAATCCACAACAGAGTAAGTAAGGCTGCGAGTAAATGTGTCTCCATACCGCTTGACATCTGACAAACGTGACTCTTCTTGACTCTTTCTGTGTGAACGGAAACGAGTCAAATTCAATCAATTCAAATGACTCTGTAATGACTCTATTCGACTCGACTCGTTTGGTGTGAACGCAGCCTAAAAATTTTAGTCCTAGCACATATGACCTAACCTAACCTCCCTTTTTGTGTACCCTAAAACTCACTGACTTGGTGGTTTTAATGACCAAGAGAATGAAGTTACATATATAAGAAATAAGTGGCACAGGAAAACACACTAAGAGCTGTATGTATTAATGAGTAGGAAGGTTGACTATAAGGTCTTCAACACCAATGGTTTCAGACGTAAGTGAAGCTTGAGTCAGCCTAGTGCACATAGGTCAACAAGGGATGTGACGTAACTATTAAGTGATTCTGGAGGGCATCATGGAATTAATCAACAAATATTACAAGCTGTAATCTGATTGGTTATTAATTAAGGATTCTCCTTCAATTAGAAGTCCTGGGTTACAACATCTCCTGTGATAACATCAGGATAGCCACTATAACACTACAAGATAATTATGTTGTAGTGAAAATTAGTAATATATTGCAGTAATTCAGGCAGTACAGTAGGCGACACGAGTAACGCGTCCTAATGCTCATCTCATTAAACATTCACGAGTTGGTGGCCTTTAACCCAACCAGCTGTTGTTTTCCATACAACCGGATCCCCTAATCCCCGCTGACGTCACCACCAACTACCCCACAAACAGCCAATTATCATCAAGTGGTGGGGAATAAATTACGCGGTGATGTCATCGAGAGAGCTACCAATGAGAGCGAGACGCCGACACCCGATTGGTTCTTGCTGAGTGACGTCATCGTCGGTGGCGTCATTGAGCTAATATGCGTCACAGGGTAAGATGACGTCGTGTACTGGAACGTGTAAATGAATGGATCTGATTTTTGTATGATCGCGAGTCATTGTGCGCCACATTTAAAGAGTTAAGAGCTTTTTACTTGTGGAGATATTGACTTATTCCTAATGCTTGAATTATTGAGAGGAGTCCACAGTGGGAGGGTTTTTTCTCCGGTGTTTTGTAGGCTGCCTCTATAATTATTAACTGTAGTGATGTACACACACACACACACACACACACTGAGGCAGACATAAAGATAAAACAATCACCTACTCAGAGTCTATAAGCATTAAACATAAAAACAAGTACCAATGGACCTTTGTGGACCACGTCAAGAATTCAACAACATTTTATCCATCTCAAAGACTTGTTGTGGTTCCCAACTTGCCTTCCTCTCCTCCTGTCGGTCACTGCAAGGACTGAGGTAAATCGAGTCATTCACTGATCACCTGAAGATTGTTAGGGTAGGGTAAGTTACATTAGATTAGGTTAGGTTAAAATGTACCTAACTGGTTCACTTCAGTTAATGGATAAAATGACGTATAAATATGGTATCAAAATTCCACAGAGACTGTACCTAAACTAGCACCAAAAATTACAGAGATACATTTCATTTCTACAAACTGGTGAACGTATCTAGTTAAGGTAATTGTATATTTATTTTTGCGACATTTATTCATTTATTGATCAAGTTATCGTGTTGTTTTTTTTTTGGCCCGTACAAGTGTTTATTTCATGGATGTTGAGTTATCATGGGAAGACTGGACAAACATCCGGCAGATCAAGATATATATACTGTATGTGTGTGTGTGTGTATACGATCACAGAACCTTGAGTAAATGTCCAATATCACCACAAATCCGCTCGAGTCGGTACCAGTTAATGCTCCCTCAGACGGATGTAGTTTTATCAGGCCACGCGGACCTGAACAGATATAAATATACACACGAGAAACGTAACGTAAGGATCCGGGTGTGGTCCTTGTTATACCGTAAGAGAGAGAGAGAGAGAGAGAGTCGTGAAGGAACCCTCTCTCCTGTGAAGCATTACCCAAGGACTTAGTAGTACTGGCTGGTGAACTCCATAGCCACGGAGACCAATGGATCACCTGGAGATTAATCCCCTTATGCTTATATCACCTTAACAGTAACCTAACCTAACCCACCCTAACCTAACCCAACCTAACCTAACCCAACCTAACCTAACCCAACCTAACCCAACCCAACCTAACCTAACTAAATAACTCGCTAAATAGATAACTAATTAAATAACCCATTCGTTTTAGCTGTTCATACTAATAGTAGCACTTGTCTACCTCCCTCCTACGACCTGTCAGTGTTTGTGTGTTTGTGATTGGCGACCGAGGAGCACTTGTAGCGTTTGTGTGTTTGGTTTTTGTTAATTGATGTTTGTTTTGGGGGTTTATTACCTGTTTTTTCTGTGTTTGGTGTTTGTGAATCTATGTTTATGTTTTAGAAGTTAGATAGTGGTTTTGTTTTAGGTTTTTTGTTAATTGATGTGTCACAGGTGTTGTAGGAGGGAGCTAAGGTGACATTACCTGTTGCTACGTAAGGTTGTGACGTTATCAGAAGGGTACCAGATCCAGATGGTGCCACTAGGTTTACTGTACACTGACCCAGTTCACTTTAATATTC